GGTATTTTGTGTTTTGCAATAATTTTCTTTGGAGTTGTTCCTAATGGCGCCTAGGGTTTGTGGAGAGTCGATCTACCTTTCAATTAGTAGATTAACTTATATCTTGGTTTGTTTTGTCGATATCCATAAAATCAGCCCATAATCTTATTCTTTCTCACTAATTTTTGATGTGTTTTCTCTTCTTTATTGTTGTTTTTTGCTATGTTGAGATCAAATTCCTATCAAATTGGTATCATAGCACCTTTTTTTTTTTGGGGACTTGTGGTGGCTAAAAAGGTTGATGTGTTGGAGAACAGGCTTGATGGGGAAGTTGAAAATTTGAAATCTAAATTCAGAGAGCAAATTTAGATTTCTATGGAAGAGATGAAGAAAATGATGTTAGAGTTTCAATCAAAATGACATCATCGGAGGCAAGAGCACCGTTAACTGGACAAGTGGGGAAAACCCTAATACATGGATGATGAGAGAGGATCATGAGGTGAAGATTTTGGAGGAAGAATATGAGATGCCACCTTTGGAGCGACTTCCAAAGAAGGAAAGGGGTGAAGGGTATGACCGGTAAAAAAATTGAGATGGTGAAGATCAGAGAGCCGATTTGGGAGAGGGAAACATGGAGGGATCATAACACCCACTATATTGGAGGATGAAGCAATTAGGGCAATGAAAATCTTAGGGTGAGAAAGTTGAAGATGCCAGATTTTTAGAAACAATATGCTTACGGGTGGATTTATAGGGTGGATCAATATTTTATTGTGAATGGGTTGACAAAAGATGAAAAACTCACTACAACTGCTCTAGGTCTGGAGGGGAAGACTCTATCCAGATACCAATGGAGAGACTTGCGAGATCTGATCCGATCATGGAGGGAGTTCTAAGATTGTCTACAGAATATTTTCAAACCAATCAGAAAGCAGACTTCTATGAACAGTTCTTTACTCTGGTGTAGGAGGGGACAGTGAAAGAGTAGCGGAAGAAGTTAGAACACTTCTTAAGCCGACTGGGAAGGTTGTCAGAGATTGTGCTAAATGAGAACTTTCTGAAGGGGCTCAAGCCTGATATTCGAGCAGTTGTTCGAATATTAAAACCACGCGGCTTAGGGGAGGCTATGGAATTAGCCCAGCTGGTGGAGGATAAGAACTCCTTGGAGAGTAGTTGTAGCACAGTTTGGGATTCTCTTACTACATGACCACTACATTTCTAGCACCAAAGGTGCAGACGGTGCATATTCAAAAGGAAGCCATGAGGGATAAAGGCCATGAGGGATAAAGGTCAGGAGTATGACAAGGGGGGAACATCAAGAGATTGACTGAGCTAGAAATTTAGGAGAAGCAGGAAAAGGGTTTATGCTTTAGTTGTGATGAGAAGTTTGCTCCAGGCCATCGTTGTATGGACCGTTTGTTATAGGTCCTAATAGTCTGCAATGAGGAGAAAGATGTTGTAGAGGAGGAAGTAGATGATGAAGATAATCACCAGCACTTAGATGTTGTAATCATTTAACTCAGTGGTCAGGTTCACACCGAACCACACCATGAAGGTTAAGGGGAAAATCGGGCATCAAAAGGTGGTAGTATTGATGGATAGTGGAGCTACCCATAATTTCATTTCCAACAGGATGGTGGATCAGTTGAGGCTGAAATTAGTGGACATTGGGGGCTTCGGGGTTATGTTGGGAACATGAATAATAAAGAGTAGAAGAATTTCCAGAGTGATCCTAATCCTTCCCGAGGTTCAGGTATTGAAAGACTTTTCGCCATTGGATTTGGGGAGCATATATATGATACCAAGAATGAAGTGACAACATAAGTTGGAGAAGATTAAGATTAATTAGAAGGCTCTAACGATGGAGTTCAAGGTTAAGGGGAGGAGCATGGTTATTATAGGGGATCCTAACTTATCCAAAACTATGGTTTCACTCAAAACCAGGGTGAGAGAAGTCCAGGGAGGAGTGCGATTTTTGGTGGAGCTGTAGAGTTTGGAAGGAGAAGAGCATGGGGAGAAGATATAAGCACCATACATGATTCAACCACTCCTAAAACAGTATTGAAAGGTGTTCCAGCCAGTTCAGAGGTTGCCTCCTTCGTGGAAACACGAACATGTTATCGTCTTGATGGAATCTCACCTATCAGTGTTTGTCTGTTCCGTTATCCCCAAATCTAGATGGATGAGATAAAGAGATTGATTAGGAGGATGATGGAGGCAGGGATCATTCGACCTAGTGTCAATCCATTTTCCACTTCAGTACTATTAGTGAAAAGAAATATGGCAGTTGGAGGTTTTGTGTGGACTACCGGGCGTTGAACAAGAAGACCGTGCCATAAAAGTTTCCTATTTTAGTGATTAATGAGTTATTGGATTAGTTTTATGGAGCGGTGCTTTTCTCGAAGATTGATTTGAAGTCAGGGTACCATCAGATCCATATAAGGCCCGAGGATGTTCCTAAGATGGCATTTAGGACTCATAAACTAAGAGTTTTTAGTGATGCCTTTTGGCCTCACTAATG